AGCCTGAATATAAAACCACCATTTGAGAGCCAAGACGCCGCTGTGTTCGGTTGAGTCGACCTCCGGCATCCCACTGCATGATCGCTCCCGCATTCTGCGGCATAGAGGGTCGGCCAACCGCCTCCGACGTGGACGGGGGATGCTTGACACGGACACAGCGTGGGTTTAGCGATCGCTTACGCCTTTTCAGATTCACCGCTCGCTCTTTTTTTTATACGCGGCGGCGGAAGCGACAGGCGCAACACTACAGAGACCGCAGGTGTCATCTGGATAACCGTTTCATCTCCTTAGCCACCTTTCATCTTCTCAGCCACCGTGCGAAGTGAATAGGCCGCCCGAAGACCTGAAGGAGCAACTCTTTGAAAAAGGCATCGGGAGGGGCGGGGGGGAAATGGAGGTGTATTTTAAAAGGAATGCCGAGGAGAGAGTTTCAGAGCCTCGGCAAGGTAAACAGAGAATAATCAGGCTTCTATTTGCTGGTCGGCCAGCTGACCCGAGTCTGAAAGTGACATTTAGGTATAAAAAAAAAAAATTAAAAAAGGTTGTTGCAGGAAAGATTTAATGAGAGAGACTCTCTCCACTTCCTTCTCCCGGTGGGGAGTGACCTTTCTCACTCCCCGGTGACGACATTCCCTCCAGATTTATTGAGCCTCTGCCTGGCCTGCTCTGGAATAAAGGGAAGAATTTCCCCAGCATCCAGACGATGACCTTCAATCTGACACGGGGACGGGGGAACGAGCACGGCCGACGGCGGCCGGCGCCCGGCCGGCAGCATCAAACGGGAAGGCCGGAAACCAGCGGCGGCAGAAATGAGTTGAAAGCTGGAGACCTTGCAGTGGCGCCTTTGTTTCCACCTGGTTCTGTTGAGTGCAGGATGAATGTGTCGGAGATGAATGTCACGCTAGCAGAGCACGGACACCAGGTATTGACGACCAGCCACGCGGAGGGATCAAAGAGCAACAGAACGGGAGGCGATGGTTGAAATGCTGAGCGGATTGATAAAACCTCCTGTTTGTTTTGAGAAACACAGGTGAAAATCTGGGTTATCCCCAAATTGGTGTCAATGTATTTTCAGGCCAATGCAGTATTTGTAAGAGCCGAGCAACCAGCAAAGAGAGTCTGGCTCTGTAAAAGGTTTAATGGTACACATGCAATCATCCCTCTTTTCCAGCAGCATACCACCTCCTCCTCCTCCTGCCTGCTGGACCAGGTGAAGCTTGTGTACGATGGTGTGAATGCACAGGGGTTGGAGAGCACAAAACGAAGCAAGGCAATCAACGGGAAATAAACAATTTAAATGCAGTAATGAGGACGCAAAAAAACGATGAGATGCTGCTACTCATTCCTTTGAAATAAACCTCAATGCATGAGATGGGGGACGGGAAGAAGCGCAGAATCCTTCAGTGGCACCAGGTGTCTGGGTAATCTCAGAGAACATCCGGAGGGGGGCTTAAAGCCGACGTAAAATATATATATATAAAGACATTTCATATCGCCTCTTGTCCTTTATATCTCCGTCATCACATCCAGCAGGTGGGAGCAAAGGTCGGAGAGGAGTCAGTGTTTGACAATTGATGGCACGCTACTAAACATTTAACATGAATACCATGGAAGGGCGCTTTTTAGAGGCTCCTGCTGCAGACATTTGTGTTCAGCGAGCAGATCATTTAACAGAATGTGATATTATCAGAGTCAACAGCGGCAACATTTTTGTATTTGTAGAGGGACTGAAATTAAGATGTGGACCCACCAAGGGATCCATTTTTCGTTGGTAGCCCAGTGTCCCTCCACTAAAATAAAACCCAAATAAGTTGGGTGTCACACATTCGGGGTAGTCCGGGGAGCAGAACATGAAATACGAGAGTATGGATGTGGTAGCGTGACATCAACTGTGGACTTACCGGCGCTGAGTATGGTCATTTTCTGCAGAGATGGTGCAAAATATTACTGCTTGTTCCTTTACTGTCGCCTTTATGGCACTTAGGAGGTTTGAAGCGTTTCATCGGTTTCTCCAGCCGCAACAATAATGGTGTGGGAGGATTTGCGGCTGAGTCACAGGGGCCACGTTAATGTGTTTACTTGATAAGAAGCTATTTCTAGGACAGATAGAACCCTCAGAGATATTCAAAAAGTCGCTGGACAAGAGATATATTTTTACTTGAATATTAATAAATTGTCTCATCGGCTTTATAGGCAAAAACACATTTTCTCCACCCTAAGGAGATGACATTAGACGATTTGTTTAAACTAAAGATGCTGCAGGAGCAGTTATTCCTTAACTCGGTGACGGGACTAAAAGAGCACACTAAGTCCAAGCATTTAGTGAATATTTATATGACTATTTAAATGAAGAACTCTCTCTGTTAAAATCCTTATTCAGACTGTATTATTATGTGCAGGGCGGCACGGTGGTGTGCTGGTTAGAACTGTTGCCGTCTGTGTGGAGTCTGCATGTTCTCGCCGGGTCTGCGTGGGTTCTCTCCGGGTACGCGGGCTTCCTCCCGCAGTCCAAAGACAGGCTCTGAGGCTTAACTGGTGACTCTAAATGGCCCGTATGTGTGTGACTGTGATTGAATTGAGAGTTAATGTTTGTCTGCCCTGCGATTTACTGGCGACCACTCAAGGGTGTTCCCAGTCTCTCGCCCGATGCTAGCCGGGATTTAGCTTATTTATTTATTTTATATCAAGGGAAATTTATTAAAAGTTGCATGCTAAAAGGAGTGTAACACTTGTTGTGTCCACTTACGGTGGTATTTCAACTAGAAATCAACCGAAATTGGATTTTTCCGGTCGGAAAAGAAGTTGAAAATTCCTATAATTCCTGCATTACAAATTAGAGAAAGGACAGAGTAGTTTTATGGAGGCAAAAAACTGAAAACATTGTGGAGTCAGGTATTACAAGACATATATACTTTAAGTTTGGGCTTGGAATGTGATCTTGTAACATTGATGGTACATTATTCACCAGAAATGCGACAGCTGAGTAAATACATTTGTTGGTGTCTTGTTTGCATTTTGCAAACACATTAATTCAGAGCGCTGCGCAAATATTTGTATCATGAGTGTATATTAAACAGCTTTAATGCTGAAGTCTGGAGCTTTGCAAAATGTCAATGTACCCTTATGTCATTCAGCTGAGACTTCTTCAATGACACGTCAGCAGGGTTCAGGCTTCTTGAACATATTGGCTGCAGCATTGATTAAATATCTAAAACCATGGACCCGATCCATACGTGCACTCTGACCTGTAGACTGCATGTTTACTCATAAAGTTGTGTTTACAATGTTTACTATAGAAATAAATCAGGTGAGAAGTATGGGTTGTTTTCTCATAGATTTCTATTTATCTGACATTGGAACCAATGGCGTTGCCCCCTGCTGGTCATTTGGAAGAATGCAAGACTGCATTGGATTTAATCTCCTGCTCTGAATGTTCTACAGTCACAGGAATGCATTTGAAAAAGCAGTTGACTTTCGATCGATTTTGGCTTATTTTTGACATGTGTTCATCAACACAAAGCACTTGATTTAAATTTCAGTACCTAAATTTCAGGACTATCGAAGAGTAGGTTTCATTATTTGCAGTGGGCCCAGTTAGCCCATCACTAAACCAGCCGATATTCACTTTGTTGATCCGGAAGCCGATTTAAACAACCAAAGAGGATCACAAACCAATGCACAGCTCTTCAAAGTGAGAGAGGTGTTATCCCTAGTTACAGTTGCTAACCCTTGATTGGCCAATTGCTGTACAATTTCTAACGTGTGGACTACATGAAAAACAAGTGTAACTGGGGTGAGTGTTTGTTTCAGTCATCGTGTTTAGTGATGAAAAGAATAAATTTAACAGCAACCTGTTAAGCATTAGATGGCTGGGGCTTGGAGCAGACCCCTCTGACACAGACATCAATGAGGTAGGCCTTCTGAGGCTAAGCGAAGGCATAATGATTAATCTTCTTTGACATCATCATCCTCGGTGTCACCTAGCAACGGTCTGTCTGCATTAATGAGACGACAAAAGGGGGGCGCTCGCTGGTTACCATGCATATGCCTTTATGTTGTAGAAATGAAGATGTAGTGAACTCACTTGATTGATCTTTTTGATTCCTTCAAATAATGTAAAATATTTATAGAGAAAAAACTAAGCATAACATAATACTATTTGCCGTCACACCGCAGGTGAAAGCAAAGCAGAGAAATGTATTTGTTTTCACTCTCGCGTTAGTGAATTTGTCTTCTAAAGAGCAGGGATGGGGGTTAAATAACTCATTAAATATAGATGAACATGGTCAGCTCCACCAACCACCCCGGAGACATGCAACTTCTTTTCAAAGAAGTCTCCTCTGTCACCTTCTCAAATGCCAAATTTAGTTGAGCATCCGCATTATGAACCACCGCTCGCTATCTCATACGCACACCCACGCGCACAAACAGACGCAAAAGTGCAAAGTGCAGAGATTGAAGTCTAAAAGTAGTCATCCACAGGAGAAAAAGAGACTTAAATTGCCTCTCGGCTGACAACTGGAAATTGCAAATGGCAACGTGCTCAGGTGAAGACTGAGTGAGTTTCTCACCGTGTTTACTCCTGGAAAATTGAGGAATAACAGGCTGTCATACGGGCACACATCGGCCTTTGTTAAAGAAATTACTTTGCTCTTCGCATGGCTGTCTGATGCTCGGCCTCCTGGACAAATTGTCCATCTGGCCAGTGCTGCAGACTAAATGGAACTGCGTCTCTGGCATGTTGCTCCACCGCCCGCACAAAGAGGCCGATAGGAATCCAATTATCCAAGGCAAATAATGGATGTCTCATTTAAGATGCCGCAGCTCTCGCGATAGTGAGGACGGTGCCACCGTGCAGAGCATCGACCGACTGCTTCGTCTTCTGCTCGACACTAACTGATCTGCGGCCTTATGCCGAAAGCTGTCGGGCATCACGGATCCTAACAAATCTTCAGGAGGCACGGTAACCATGGCTGCCGTGGGTACAAACGTTTACTCACATGTAGCGTAGGTGTGGGTTCTGAGCAAACACTCGAGCCTGGATCGCCCTCAGGTTGCAGTTCATGATGGTTCTGAAAGGAAAAGAAGAAAATGACGATGGGTTTTGTTCCTCTTTTTCTGTCTTCTCGTTGCGGCACGTCCTCGTCCCCTTCTCAAAAATAGTAGATTCAAATGCAGAAAATGGTGGACTGACCCCTGTAACGAGACCACGACTATTCCAACACATCAAATTCAATCTGCGCGTGCACGCCCTCCGAAAAGGATATTCGGTTTGAGCGTGTATTCATAACACATTTCTGCATTGTGGCAACTTGCATGCAGTGAAATTACTGAAAATCCACTAATCCTCTTTCTCTTCGCCGAAGACCCCGTGGAATCCTCTCAAGGATTCCCGGGATTCCTGGCGACCCATTTTGGGTAACGACTGTTCTGGGTTACAATAGCTTCTCAGCTTGTAACCACAGAAGTGTCATGGCTGATGTGAAAGAAGTCGCCGACATCATTACACCCGGCTGTTGAAGTCTAGTCACACCTCTGTGGCGTTGGACTGGGATGTCGTCACCCCAACGTAGGGCTCTGGGACATTCAAGGGTCCTTCACAGGGCTTTGTAAGGCCCATCAACACCTTTTGGTGGGTTCCCAAGAAAAGTTCAGTTGTTCACTGCATAGAAATCTGCACGACGATGTACTGTATGTGGAAGACTGTAGAGCTCTGAGTATTATCCTTCCAGCAGTAATAACAATTCTAGTGAACACAATGGTCTATGAGCAGCAGGGATTTGATGCTGCCCAGTTTTTTAGGACGTATCTTTTTGTCATTTTTTTTTCCAAACCACACAAACAGCCTAAAAGGCCATCGAACTCCGTGTAGCATTTTGTTAGTTTAAGGTTGAACACATTCTCATAGAATGGTTGTAGAATATCAAATTGTTGTTTTTCCCACAAACTGTGCGTCAATCAACAAGTGTCCATTTTCACTCACAACACGCATGAGCTTGTTTTAAAATAAGCTTTTACAATAAATAAATGATTTAGTTTGTTTTAGGCCAAAAGTGTACTTGGTTGATTATGGAAGATTTAGATGTAAATTAATTTTTATATGAGAATTAATGTGCTTGCAAGATGCAAAAAGGTTTACAATCAGTGTACAAACGCACTCAGCTGTGAACTTCCCAGAAAACTACCCTGAAAAAATACTAATATCAAAACAAGAGGAAAAAAGGTAAAAACATATCTAAAAAATCTTAACATGGGGTAAATGCTAACAGGCCACTATCTAAAATTGAAATGCAAGTATGATACACAATAATTACAGCGATATCTAAATGGTAAATCCTTGTATTTAATCCCATCCTCAACTCCGATGGCAATTACTCCCCTATATCTTCATAAGCATATAGTTCTTTCTTGTGATATTAATGATGACAATCTTATGTAAAATGCCTTAAAGGCGTCACTCATTAAAGAGCATGGGGTGGTCCTTTTTGAATAAATGCACAATAAAAAGTTGAGAAATGCATTCAGCTTCTCATTCTCTCGATGAACCTGAATAATATATTCAAGAAGTCAATTTAGTCAATTCATTTAAATAAAAATAAATTATTGCATTCCTTTTCATTTGACTTAATCAAAGATGAATTGCATCAAATGGAGAAACAAGGTGAATCCCTCGTCCCTGCGTGCTGCTAACAGCCCCACGAGGTCACACCCCCCCCCCCCCCCACCCCTCGACTCCAACCGGGGGGAAGCCGCTCACAGACGTGCAGCGGGACAGAGACGGTGGTAATGAGAAAAATGCTAATTCATTGCTGGAGATGTTGCACTCGGCCTCCCTGATGAGGGATCAAGGGGATCAGAAGAGAGGCCGGCTCTGACTTTTGGAGGTCAAGGGAGGATACGGGTATCTGCATGGAGCAGGGGAAAAAAAGGCCAGCGGGGGGGAGGTGGGGGTCTGCAGGCGGCGGCTATTAGAGGAATGTAAAAGATGTTGCCCCGGTAATGTAGAGTAGTACGCCACGAAAAGAGCGTGAAGAGAGATCAATTTGAAGAAAAAAAACGAATATCAATGAATCCCAAGTGCTACAGGCAGGGACCCCTAAATCAATTTCCCTGCTGCTTTTTTGAACATGATACGATCAGTGGCTGTGCAGAGTGAAGGGGATGTCCCAGGAGCTTGCCGCTGTTGACGATTAAAAGCACGTTTAAACAGGCTCGCGTTACCATCGGGGAAAAAAAAAAAAAAAAACACCCTTGACTCCCTCCCCTCCCTGCACACCCCTGACCCCTGACACCCTCGTCATCTCCGGGAATTAGCCCCGGTTTCTTCCAACCGGCGACACGCGCAGCCGCAGCCACTTGTGTTCTGAGCTGAGTTACAGGCTCTCGTCTCTTGGGCCAAATAAACCACAGCCAGCTCTGCGGTGAACTGGCGGGCGGCCCGATGAGAAGCGCCTATCGACGGCGGTACGGGTTCCACATCTGTGACTCCGTCGCCGGGATGCCCCCGCCTCCACATCAGCATCAACACTCACAGTCTCTGCAGTCCAGTGTAGAGCTCCATGTCGACGTCTCTCAGGGTCTGCAGCCCCGTCCAGTTCTCTATGTGTCTGCAGACGAGAGAGGGAGAGAGAGAGAGAGAGAGGGGGGGGGAGCTGTATTAGAGGAAGGTAAACAAACCGGGCGACGTAATGGGAGATAGTCAGTCCAGAGTTGGCTGCGGTGTTTAAAAAAAAAAATCCATATCAATTTAAATTGCAATTATTGAAACAGTTCTGACAGAACGCTCTCTGCTGCCTTATTATAGTTTAATTGCCGAGAGGCAAGTTGTGATGGGAGAAAGTGTGAGCCGGGAGGAAGTGTGTGTGTGTGTGTGTGCGGGGGGGCAGACTAAATAAATACTGCAGATGACTGCTTCTGACACGATCACCACACCCCCCGGGGATAACTCCCCCCTGGCAGCTGTGAATTTGATTCAGGACAAAGTGTGTTTGTAAATTATTTGGGTTTTTTTGTGGTTTTGGAAATGAAACAGGCAACACGCACCACAGTTCCGATTAAGCCGGCGGAAATGAGGAGACACGCTATAAACGTCATGGCTTTGTTTGGAGAGAAGAGAAAATCTGAAAAATGCTGACGGGAACTTAATCCTAAATGTCAGATTTACATATTAACACCACAAATGTGTCCATCTAAACTAAATATATTGATGGTTTAAGTGAGAGCGGATAGAGAGACCTGTAAACACATCCATGGTATATTCACCCAAATAAAAACACATGCCAACATTGCGGCCGATGAGAAAATAATCTAATCGCGCTCACACTTCAGCATCTCTTCTGCAATCACAGAGCGGTTTGTGCTGCATGCCAGCAGCAGAATGACACTCCCACCATTGGGTTTGGCAAACTCGCTCCAGCGGCGCATCTTTTGGTTCTTGTGCGTCTGGTGTTCAATGACGACTGGCTCCAGTCTGTTAGTTCGAGGCCTGCACCCTCGGGTGCATCACCTTCGATGCTGGGGAGGAGGATAGAGCTCTGCCAAACGCCACAAGCGCTGGTGGAACACGTCGTGCATGACTTGTTGGCTACTCGGCTGCCAATTTTTGCCTCTTTTTTTAGGGCCGCAGGCAGGTGGGAGCAGTTAGCAATAAGGGACCGCAGGGGGGTTTGTTTGAGAAGGGTTTTTATTCCAGTAAATGAATCTTAAAATGATGATTGTATCAAGAAAACAGCAGTTGGGCTCGTAATGTGAGCCGAGTCACGGGAAATTGAGCTGGCATTTGGCATAAGTCTGGAGCAACCAAACAGAGCAAATTGCCTTTTCATTTGCCTTCAAGGTGATCACAATACGTCCATAATGGGTTTTGGGTGCATTTACAGCTGTGCTTTCATGGGGTCAAGCGCTGTCTAACACAGAGACATGGATATGTCGCTTTTGTGAACCATGAAGTGAGACGAAACCGACGGTCAATGGTCAAACTGGGATCCTGCCCATATGTCAGGGTCAGCATTGTTCAACATCTAACTTGGTTGCGTCTACAATTTGTTTTTAAATGGGTGTTTGGTGATGAGCTCACTCACCTCAACTGTGTCATTCCCGTCACTTTGAAGGCAAACAAAGCTGACGGTCACGTGACAGCGAAACGGACATTTGCGTGCGAAAGTGCAACAAGGTTGTATTGATCCACATCATTTAGGCTAAAGTGGTCAAATCACAATTCTCTGGTGATTAAGATAGGGAATCATTTTTAGACACTGCGTGTGCATTTACGAGTGACTGAAGTGACACTTCAAGAAATCTGTTAAGAAAGCTTTTGCATCAATTTTAGCAATGCATCTAAGCGTCAAGTCAAATTAAAAGACAGAAATGGCAGCAAGAAGAGCTGACTTACTGGAAGAGCCTGCAGCTCATTAAACCAAGACATTCTGGCAAAGAAAAGAATGTGAAAGTACGCAGCTTATGCAGACACCACAGTACGATCCTTGTCAATCACCCAATGACGAGTAGAGACTCATTAATAAATAAACAAAATGTTTGCATAGAAGAAGAAACTCCAAGAAAATATGAACACAGAAATAAAGAGAGTATTTGGAAGTTGAGTAATACATTACAAGTTTATTGCATATCTCTACCGGAGAGTCAATCATCCCTCTTGACTGTGAGCATCTAAAATTAAACGTCGAGTCAGCTTCTTCCCGTTTCCTAAAGAATTAACTGTCAACAACTCTCTGTCCCAGATTGATGTATCTTGAGCGTTGGAGCAAATAGGACGTGATATTTAGAACGTTTTTTGGAGATTCTTTTATATCAATCGTGGGATTCTCAGTAAATATTACGAGCATCGATGATGGAATGTTTCTCTCTTTATTGAATTCCAGCTGAAACTGCAGTAAGTACTCAACACTGTCCTTGAAACTTCAGGGCAGAACATAAAGTCGCAGTGAATCAGAATATCAGAGAGAGATTCAAATCAGATCCTTTGCATTTTTGTAGGTGTGCTTAGACGGCAACACCTGCCCAGTCGTCACCGACTTACGGACGGATGTCAAGTGGAGGAAACTTGTTGGTAATAGTGAACTCACGTCTTATTTTGTTCTACAAGAGCCATTTTGTTTATTTTTTTACAGGTAAACAATATATGTGTGGAAATGTTCTAAAAAGTCTCAACTTTTCTGACAGGTGAAGTAGCAGCGGCTCAACGCGTCACATTTCTTTGAGTTTAGTGCTGTGGGAGATTGCACATGACTAAAATGATCTAAAGAGGAAACAGCCAAAAGGTTTCTGTTATAATTAAAGAGCTAATGGGAGCTGAACCGTGTTAAGTTATTAAACAGTTGTTGTCATCGACACTGGTTCATGCTAACGTGCCGTACTGTAATAGCAGACGGCTTTGGGATGCTTGTGTCCTCGTTGGGAGCATTCCAACAGGACTTTGGCATGCAAAGTGATTAAATACACGGGGCAAAGTGACCGGTTTTCAGCAGTGGGATATAATTCTAAATGGTAAAGCCGGTGCAATATTGCGATGTTTAAAATAGAAAAAGAATAATTTATGTGAGCACAAAGTGTTTCCATTTGCACCGCCGCTTTATGCTCTGTGATCAAATTTAGTATCATCCCCATTTCCATCGCGTTGCCAACAACAAACAGCACAGAGGAAGCGGGGAACAACGTCCCAGCAGACCGGGGCATGTCGTCCGCTCAGAACTCTGATTGTCCGCGGCACATTGAATATGCATGTGGATTATGCTGCTGGGAACAGAGACGGATATGGAGCAAAAAAAAGATACTTTGATTATAAAGGGGCATTCACTCCCTGTCCTGTTACTCCGACGTCCTTGAAGGATCCACGAATGCAAATGGCAACGAGAATGAAAGTTAACAGCATTTGAAACATTTAGAGAAGCAAAATTTTGCATCCGAGTGGACAATTTCATCAGCGTGCTTACAGCTGCAGTAATTTTAAATCGCTGCTTTGTAAAAAGGAATTTACACAGATGGAAGGAGATTTGAACATTGGAGATATGGAGATTTTGTCATGACAAGACAATTAGATGTCTCTTATTTCTGCCTCACCTCTTGTTATTATTATCATTTGTTACTCTGCAAAATATTACTGTTTTTTTCCAAAAGGGCTTTCTTCATAAATTTGACAGGAAATGGATCAGTAGGCACAAAGTGAAATCAGATAACATCAAAACTAATTGTACAGGTGGATTTATTTCTCGCACGAAAGCCTCTGAAACTAAAGCCACCTTCCATCTGCTTTGGAAAATGGCCTCCGACAAAGTACGATCTGAACTGGGTGGCAGGCTGGTTGGGCGCTTGAGGAGAACACCCTGGAACCAAACAGTAACAGATTTGATCCCAGCAACAGCCATCTGTTGTGTGGAAGCAGCCCTGGGCAACGCACTGAAGCCCTACCTGCTATCTCCGTCTGAGCTCCCGTGAATATGAGCAACGGAGAAAAAGAAGGGTTGTATTAATTGAAAACAAGAAATGGGAAGTTTGAAAGGCGTAAGAAAGAAGGGGAACGGGGGCCGATGTGAACATCACATGCTGGATAGTTTGGGGTTGAAAATCAATGACGAGCTCCGAGCTCCCAGTTAGCGGCTGCTGTTGATGTGTAGAAGTTTATTATCAACAAGACTATTGAGCGAGAAATCTGAGGAGTGATGTGTTATTTGGAATTTGAGGAGAATCGAGGGACCACATGAAGAATTATATTGGTTTTTACTTTTCTTGCTCACTGAAAAGCTCAAGTGCAAGTTGCCACTGTAAAAGGTAGAAAATGAGCTGAAACACTGAAAAAGATTTACACAGCTAAGAGGTGCAAATGTACCCTTTCAGATTTCACATTAACTTCAGTCCATTCCTGATTAATAATTGATCAGTGGCTCTTTTTGAATCTGTTCCAAATGTCCAGCTGTAATGAGAACATAGGAGCGTGGATTTAAAGGGAACATTTAAAACCAGAGAGACGTCCGTCTGCCTCTATTAAGATAAGAAAGCGCAGATCAGCCGCTGAGCCTCGTGTCGCATCACAACGATGTGGTGTTGTGTTTGATCAACACAATGCGATTCGGATGGCACGTTTTAAGTGAAGCAATCCCTCAGCAGAAATATACGCTAATGTAAGAACAAGATACACAATGTTCCCAGTAGCGCAAAAAGAAGAAAATAAATTCTGTTTCCCAGTAATCTGCACTGATTCCGCTCGATACCGCGGTCTGTCTGAGATTTACGACTTAGTTGCAATGATCTACAATTCTCGCACAGCTGCCCTAATGGGAAAATGTTTAATAAAATAGAATGTCTCTGGTGTGTTTCTGGGGTATTGATCGGTATTCTGCCTCACTCTCTGTTTTCAGAGCGGCAGTCTTGTTCAGCCCGAGCACTTGAGAGTGGGGATGAGCGGGGTGAAGTAGCACTCCTCTAGATTAAAGCACACGCCTGACATCAATCAGATAACCTGTTTGCTCTTTTCTTTTGTTATTTACCTTTTCCTCATAAGTGTTTGCAAGCCGCATTGTAAAGATGGGGGTTGCACTAAAAGGACGCAGCAGAAAGCAGCGACGGCGAAAAACACAGAGGAAAGGGAGCTACT